CCCCAGCAATGATGCGAGGGCTGGAACCCCTCTGCTGGGAGGAAAGGCTGGGAGAGCTGGGGCTGCTCAGCCTGGGGAAGAGAAGGTTGCGGGGAGACCTTAAAGCAGCTGCCAGTACTTAAAAGTGGCTTATAAGATGGGGAAAATATTTTCAGCAGGGCTTGTTGCAACAGGACAAGGAGCAAAGGCTTTAAACTAAGCGAGGGTGGATTCAGACTGGATATAAGGAAGAAATTATTTACCATGAGGGTGGTGAAACACTGGGCCAGGTTGCCCAGAGAAGCAGTGGAGGCCCCACCCCTGGAAACATTCCAGGCCAGGTTGGACGGGGCTCTGAGCACCCTGACCCAGCTGAAGATGTCCCTGCTCACTGCAGGGGGGTTGGGCTAGGTGACCTCTAAAGGTCCCTTCCCACCCAAAGCATTCTGTGATTCTGTTTTTGTGATCTACGCAATGCCCAATCCCATTTGCACTATTCCCCACGGAATCTCACAGACTACAACGGGATTATCTGTGTTAAGTGATGCAAACGGGATTTTACCACGTTCCTCAGAAGAGTTACTGGCTACCCGCTCCAGAACCCGCGCTGAAAGGCGACCCGCTTTAAGCCGTCGTATCAAGACATCTTCGAGAACTTACGGAGGAGTCAGTGGGCAAGTCGGTGTCCCACTTGCGGCCTTTGAAATCCCCCCCTCTGTTCCATCGGAATGAACTCATGCATCCTCCCTGTGAAAGCTCTGAAAGCAACAAGAATTTATTCAGTTACTGGGGGTTGAAAGTGTATGGAAGCGGTGTTCTATGCTGGTTTCAGAGGCTTCATACATGTTTCTGATGTACAAAATAGGAAAAATTGAACCAATGATATGCTTGCAAAGATATTAATGTGGGGAGGTAAATTTACAGGGTAAATTTGTAGCTAACGAAGGGATTAAATCCAACACTTTGCAGCCCAAGAACACAGGAGGAAAATAAGAAATAAGGCTTTTAAAGACATTCCGAAAGTTACATCCAAGTCCCACATCATTCCATTGTTATAAAGAGGGAAAGTTGAGAAGAAAATATCTCTGCAGCTTAAAAGCAGCTCTCACCCCTGCCGTGACTCTTCACCCATCCCCACCGAAGCAATGCCAGATGCCACCACCACTTCACTGCGGCAACGGAAGTGTTTTAAAGTCAGTCCGGTGAGAGCACGTACCTTTGATCCTTTCGACCAAATACTCCTGGTTGGGTGTGAGATCCAAGTACTGCACTATAGCGTTCAGGGTTGGGATGAGTGGAGCTTTAACGAGCGCTGCCTGCTTCAGGCTGCTGATGCTGGCTTCTGCAACAAACGAAGAGGCAGCGCAGTCAGCTGCGACCACCCCAGCACGCCGGGCAGCCTCCCTGCAAAGGGCTCTCCTTTTTGGCACACCACTTGAAGTCCTAGAAACATTTAAACACCCACACTCCCCCAAACGCTCATTTCAATTTCAGTGAAGCAGCAGACATCTCCTTTACATCACAGAACGTAAAAGCTACAAGGAACCAACATCCACTTTCAAGAGCAGAGGGAGAGTAACGAAGCGGGGATGAGACCGGCATTGATCAGTTTTTCTGCAGGCATCACAACGGACGCAGCTCTTGAGGAGATGCTACACAATCAGCCTGAAAAAGGTGGATTTGATTCAAACGCAGCATCTCAAATCCACTTCTTGGTTAGGGGGAATATAAATCTGAAGCAACAACAGAACCAGTTCCTTCAGAATTGTACTGTGACATGAAAAACAGAACTGAAGTTCATCAGAATTTAAATAAGTAGTTCTTTCAGAAAGCAGCTGATTTTAAGGAAGAGTTTGGAAAAGCAAATAGGACTGGAGACACTGCGAATTTATAGGGAGACACTGAGAGCCTACAGCACATCTATCCTTGAAATGTTGTCTGACAGTTTAATATGCAATAATCAGTGATAATCTGAGCCTGTAATTCCCCAGCAGCAGGTTTAGGGAAGGAGGAGCAAAGACAAAAAAAACCAAAACATGATATGTTTATGAATTTAATATGAGACAGGTATCAGTGTGACTTCACCAGTATTTCCAGGAGCCTTACAAAGAACCTTCCCAGCTTAATGAAATGGCCGACACGGAACAAAGACCACACCTACACAGAGCAGAAACGGAACGGTAATATTTAACAGACAATTCCTGTAACACCTATCCAACTCCGCAGCTATGGAGCCGCCGGCCCTCCATCAGCCACCACCGGGAACTCCAAAGCTCATCCTACCTCCGATCTGCAGTTCTGGACACCCCATTCTTCTCAGCTGAGTGCTCACAGACTCGATCTCTTGGACAAGTGGCACTAGGATAGTCTCATTAATCCACTAGGAAAGAAAAAAGTGAAAATTCAAGAGGTCAGAAGCAAGCAAAATGTTAGAAAAATCCCAACCCTTCGCTTGCATCCTACTAATCATCACCGCTACAATCACAAAGCAGCTCAACAACAGAAACACTGAAGTCAACCAGGGAGGAAAGTAATTAAATTAGAGTACCAAGTTAGGCAGAGTTTAAACGAGACTAATACCTTCTAAAAGGCCAGAAAATTCAAGGTAAAGGAGTCAAGAAAACAAATCTCTACATAGCATCAGATAAAGCTTTTCTGAACAATGAGAGAAGGGGCATTCTGAAGCACAGCCCTCCATCCATAAAGATAATTAATGCTTTGATGGGTCCACTCCCTCTCATACTTGTTTCAGGAAACCAAGAAGCTGACAAACACTACACGGGGGATTCGGACGTGACAGGATTTGGGAACTGAAGCAAGCGGGCCCTCGGTTGAGGAACAGATGCTCAGCAATGTGGTATGGATCTCATACAAATCTTTGCTTTTTGCCAATCTTGTTACTTTACAAAAAAAAAAAAACAAACAGCAAAACATACAAGCAAAACTACATACTTGATAGATGCTACAACTGAAGGGGCAATTAAAAGTTAGATTTACTAATTATTTTGCCATTGTGTGCATTTAAGTCCTCTCTGCTGTAGCAATTCCTTTTGATAAGATCAAGGTTTTTCTTGTTGCTTTTTATTATGCTGCTCAGGACCGTCACAAAAAGCCAGCCTTTGGGTTGGAATTTTCCATGCTTTGAGCCCAGGCGAATGATTTGGAAATAACGCAGAAACATCAATTCAGCAATCTGAGTTACAGCAAGGAAAACCAAATCCTGTCACCTCTGAGATGCTTTTGTTTCTCACTCCAAGGTGGACGCACCCCTTAGGGACGGGACTTACATTTCTGAACTTGGCGGCGGTCCAGGAATCCATGTGGTCAAGGAGCTGTCGGTTCATTGTCACCCGTGCCCAAACCTGTGGAAAGGTTTATTAAGTACGTAGAAGAACTTAGCAGAATACCAAGAGTTTTTCAGGTCTATGACAATATCTGACACTAACTGCAGCACATAATTCAAATCACTTTTTGCCCCAAATTCTGCTACATCTGCTGGCTGTATCGCGTGACTTCTGCAGCAGCTTCACACACGACACTCCCACTCTCTATTCACGGTACAATCACCTTGCGTGAGCCCAAATTCAGTTTTAAGCTCTCTGCTCTATTAGGATAAAATTGGCTGGAACTGCAGGATCGATTTAAGAGGCATCTGAATAGGAAGCTTCATTAGGTTAACGTAGGAAATACAGAAAATTGATCTAATTTAATTTAAGCTACATGAATTATATTCCTTTGCATCAGACTTCTTTCAGATGCAGGCGTAAAGGCTTTAAGCTTTACATCCTTCAGCTGTTCCACTGGGTTGAATACAGCCCAGTTTTGAGTCATTTTTTCTGTCACAAATATATTTTATCCAGAGTACATCCTGCTCGCCAGGGACGAATCATTTTCCAACTAAAATTCAGAATCTGAAATGTCCATTTACAGTGAAGCTGTAGGAAGATGATTAAATGCCAGAGGATTTCTCTCTCTTGAACATTTTTGATACAGCTGGAATCCAAACCTTTGCATGAAGCTGATTCTTTTAGAGGCCTCTTTCTCCCTCCTGACCACCTTGCTGCTGAATTTACCTCTTCTGCAGCCTGTTTCGAGCTCAGATCAGCTTCGTCCTTGTGCGCTGATGGAGCTTGGGACCTGCAAGCCAGCTGATACTGGAACTTCCTCAGCATCTGGGCGCAGTCTGTCATGGAACGGCTGTAGTTCCAAAAAGTTGGGCTGCTGGAAGGAGAGCTGGAATCTGAACTTCCTGAAACGACCCATTCATGAAACAGTCATGTATGATTACTGCCAAGTAATTCTGGAAGCAACCGCAGAGGTGATACGTCAGTATATTGAGGCTTCCACAAGAGACACGAACACGAACTACCATGAATACATACACTGAAGTCCATTTGCATAAACGCTGATTTCTCCTTTATCTTGATTGTCCCTACCCAGGACAAAAACTGCCTGCAGGTAACTCACCCCCTTTATCTGAAATGCCTCCTCCACAAGGCCTCTCTCTCACCGAGGTGATAAAGCCCATCATCTTATCATGGCGCACGACAGCCAACTAATGCTACAGAGACAACCCATCAGCACACATTTCCATAGGCTGCAAGAGCGGCATGTATCCTACCCAAAGGAATGCTTTGGAGGAAGACTTTCCGAAGCTCCTAAGCCATGGAGACGTGCAGAAACGATGGCGTCCTACCACACGTCCCAGTCACTCAGCAGAAGACTGAGCTGGTCAGCAGCGACCTTTACCAAGGTGACGGGTGATTCCCATAAACGACTTAGGTCTATTTTACGAGTACGCTGGAATCCTTTGCAACTTTTCTCACCCGCAAAAGAACTCTCGAATAAAACCAACACCTTCTCCTCACCAAGCTTTTCAGATCCAACCCGTTTACTTACCCAGTTGAACCCTGTGCTGTTTCTCTTCCTCATTTCGAAGGAAGGTGTCTAGCAACTTGAGGTCTGTCATGTAGTCTTCCTTGCCAGTAGGAGAATTATATGGAATGGGTGAAGGGCGGTAACGAGACCTCAGCCCACCGCTTTCCAATGGCCCAATACTTGTGGGGTACGGTGACCCAGTGGGAGAGGGGCTGAAGCTGGAAGCCTTGGGCGAATAAGAACAAAAGGTTGTGTCATATGAGGAAGACATAATTCCACCCCGATTCATAAACGACATGAATATAAAAGACTCTTGCTTGGAGTTTAGGTTGGGGTTTTTTTTCTCCTTTGTATTTACATGTTTGTTTCTTATTTTTGCTTTGTTCTGAACAAATTAGCCACTCTAAAACAAACAAAGTGACACTAGGGAAAAAGGACAAATCCCAATACAACAAATTTACATCTGCTTTGCAAAAGAAGCACACACAGACATACACACAATCCTCTGCTGGCGGCTGCTCGCCTTCGATGGCATACAGCACAAAACAAGAACCAAACTGTACCCTTGGTCGTTACCATATTGTAGCTGCTGCTCGGTGAGTAGGTTACAGCACTGCTGTAAGAAGTGCTGTCGCTTGACAGAGGCTGTAGCTGAGGGCTGTACCCTGCGATACAACTGGGAGTAAACTTTGGACTGGCACTGGGAGAGCGGGACGGGCTGTAACTTAGCACACTTTGACCCTGGATCGGAGGAGAAGGTGTCGAAGATGGGACTTTCTTTGCTGCCAGTTCACGTGGTGGAGTTGTTTGTACCACTGCAATAAGGAAAAACAGAATTAGCATTGTGGATGCAGCAGCCCCAAACTCTCCTCCCTGCTTTAAACGTACAACAAAATGCATTCACGGCGCTACCTTAAGGCAATTTTAAAAAGATGCTAGAAGGGACACCAGAAAAATCCAGCCCCTCCAGAACTCAGCAGACAATCCACTGACAGGAAACAAAGAGAAGACCGCGACACACGACCACAGCTCAGTATAAATCAGATCTCAGTTAAATGTTACCAGGCACCCTGCATAATGCTGGGAGCTTCTTTAATCTATTGCATCAGCTACTCCACCTGCTTACTTTATGCACCTTTAGCACACTGAATGTCTTGATTTATCTGTGCAAATAAACACGTGAGATCCTTGAACTTTGGTGATACAGCGTTACTCCTGTCTGCTCTCCACCTTCTAAGGGCAGACTAGCAGAGTGCAGCATTACCATGGTAGCATTTTGCTTTTGGTTTATTTACCTCGTCAGGTTCTGCTGTATTTAAAAACTTTGCTTCGATGTTCAAGAGCTTTCTGAGTGACTGCTCTCTGGGGTGTCATTTTCAGACTTCACATGAAGGTCTGACTGCCCCCCCTAATTTGGTTCTCGTTACCCAGCATGATATTAGCAGGATATCAAAATTAAACATAAACCTGCACTCTCTGCCTGGCTCCTAGTCCCATGTATAGGTTACAAATTTCTTGTCCAGTCTCACAATGTCTGCTTGTCTCACTGTCCTTCAGTGGCCGCTGTCATCCTGTCCTTTTTCCCCATGTGTGTTTGTTTCCCCTCCAGGTCTCCCCACACACACTCAGAAAATCACCACTTAATGTTGCGAATTTTAGTGCGCTGCAGGTAATTTAGTTTACGGCTCATATCAGATGAAATAATTCAGAACTCATTTCACTAAAGAATCCTGCCACTGCAAAAGATACCGTCTTGAAACAAACAAACAAAAGAGTTAAAAAAAAAAAAAAAAAAGATTAGCAGAGATATTTGTGACACCCACCTGCATTCCGCAACCCCAGGAGGGTCTGCTGGCCAGGACTCATGACCAAGCTCGTTGGTGCCACCGTGTATTTGAAGTACCTCCAGAAATCAAATAAGGCATTCAGGCTGAACAAAGATGCAAATGCGAGTTCTAGAAGAAACACAAAAGTTTCAACCACAGCTTGAGCATGGGGAATAATAAAAGTATATTATTTGCAGAAACAGGCATATGCCCATCAAAAACAGGTCACTGTTAGTGTAATCAACAAGTACCAATTTGGGCAAGTATCTACGATTTCTTCACCTTCTTATGCAAGCACCACTGGAGATAATTTTCCTTTCTATAGTGAGATTAATTTACGTTGCTAAAATGGAATTTTTTAAAATGGACAGTCTTTTTCCAAAAGGGACATAAAGTACTGCAATGAAGTTTCACAGCATGTCTCAAAAATCATCGTCCCCCAAATCATGTCACTCATGATTTTTTTTCTCCCTCTTGCTACATCCTCTAATAGTATTTGATACAGCTAGCTTAGCATCTACGCATCTGAAACAAACTTTCGTTACTGCGAAATGCCATCCACACCCACAGCACAGCACAGGAGTAAAATGTGCAGTGTTCTCCCCACATTAAACAGGTTCAATGAACCAAACAAGTTCTTCGTGTCCTTTCATGATCTAGCCAAGCAAACTGTTCACACTCCTTATCTGTCACTAAAAAGGATGAAATTCCAACAGCTTCAAGGGAAATTACAGGAAGCAAAACAAAGTTTTGGTTTACATTAAAAAAAACCCCCAAACTACAAGAAAAAAAAAAGATTCGCTTAAAAGAAAGCAGGTAAACAAAAAAAGGAAAAGAATCCTGAAAATTAATTGAAATGCTGCAGCGACTCACCAATATACCAGAGTGGCCAGTATGTGATGTTGTAATATGAGCTTATGAGTTTGCCAGTCCTGAAAAGAAAAACAAGAAGTTATCATTTTGCAACTATTCAGTCCTGGGAAATGTTTAGGGATATACAACATAGGATGCTTTGCTTGTTTGAATCGGATGTAACAATTAACGTACATTTCAGTATATATCATGCCCGCAACAGACACATTCAGGAGTCCCCAGGCCAAGACCACTTTCCGGGCTTCAGTCTCCTTCCTCATCTTGATGGTCCTGTCGATGAGGGAAGTCGCTGCACTCTGTTCTGGCATCATTATCTGTAACAACAAACGCAGAGAAATGACAAAATCTGTCAACTTTCATACAGTAAGACTCTCAGTCAGCACAAGGTTAAAGAAAAAAAGCAGTAATCCAAAACAAACTACATGAATGGGTTTTACTTTTGGCCAGAGTCATGTTTAGTGTATTAAAAAAAAACAAACCTCAGATTCTTTTCACCAGTAGAAATAGGGAATATTTCTTTGACGAACTCTACTGTCAGCACTGTCATCTCATTACTGAGGGACAGTGTCCATTTTCTTCAGTGAGGCGCAGACAAGAGGACAGAGACAGACTCCAACCTCATTTTTGAAAAATAACATCCTTCAGAAGCGAGAGGCAAAGCTCCTGCCTTCTCCAGGCAAAGGAAGCCAGAAGGAGGAAAGGCCTGGCACCGCTCTGCCAGTTTTTATTGAAAATCCCCACTCATTTCAGTTGATAACAAGTATTTTCAGACTGTAAAGCCACCTCCTGTGGGTTCAGTATATCTGAGCACTCTCTGCACACCTTGCTACCTTTACGCCCAGTAACACCTTATGTGAAAGACAGAACCCTGGTGACTTTTTCTGCTAGTCGTGTCACCAAAATATGCGACTGTTCCTTCCTGCCACCTGCTTAAAAACTTGTCACATAATTCTTCACTAGATGCGAACATCAGTAATTTGCTTTTTGGGACAAACACTTCAACTGTACATCACCTGCTAAAAAAACAACAACAACAAAAAAACCAAACCCCAAATCACATTACCTGCTTCTTACTGGTACAATGATTCAATGGTGAAACAGTTAACATCAGGATTACCGGAAGAATTATACAAGAACACATTGTCTGGTAATTTTTTTGACAGGTTTTTCATACAGTTTGAGCCCCAAAACTTCCCTGCCCTCACTGACAAACGTAGCAGCCCTCAGCAGAGATCCTCTGCCCCATCCTCACACTCCCAGCCCCTCTCCCTAAACCACGTGCTTCTGCAGAAGCAGAAAATGCACTGTTAGGGGTCCAAAACAAAAGCGAGATTTGGTCTCTTTCTATTTGCTTAAGAGGGCTGGGTGTGTGGTTTTCACCTCCAGACTGAAATACGTCCTCCCACACCCCCTGCCCTCATCTGCTAAGGCACAGTAATGAGGGAAGGCCTCACCTTGACAAACCACAAGGCACTGACCCCATGCCACACACCGAGGTCCCCCCACTGGCCCCAACCCCTCAGCTTCCCCCACGCACGGCCCTCTCTCACGCATAGCTCCCCTTGCCCCAGACCCCACAGCACCCTCCACGTAGATCTCACCGTCACAATCGCAGAAACCCTGCCACATACACAGGGACCCCCAGAGCTACCCACTGTGGCACCCAGGCGGCCCCGCAGCTCCCCCCGCTCCCCCCC